CCCCCCCCAAGAACCGCATGTGCGAGTTCCCCCACATGCGGTCAAGTGACGAAGGCCCTTTCCTTCGAGCTTGGTAAGCGCTTCGCTGTAGCCAAGCTTCAACCGTGACTGCTCGTCGCTTTTGGCCGCCTTATTCCGTTGGCTGCCTTATTCCATCACCCGAGATCCAAGTCAGCAGCGGCAAAGATCTCTTGATTCCTCGCGGCCGGGCCGGCTTGGAAGCAAGCTACCTCTTGCCTATCTTACCTCCTTCCTTCACCATGAATTTATGTTGTCTCACTCTTACTAACAATTTTTATTTTTGAAGATAAAAATGTTGACATTATTGTATTCTGCAGGCACTTGACACATTTAATACTGCTGTGGTTTCCCCTATATACTACGTCATGTTTACAACACTGACCATTGTTGCAAGTATGATAATGTTTAAGGTAATTCAAAATTCAGTTTTGTGGTTATGGCTATTCAGCACTCTTAGTTTTAATCAATTTCCATTTCTTTGAGATATCATGAATGGGTTATTATATTGCTGGAAATGAAACAATTGTAGTTGCAAGAATAAAAATAATGCAGATAGCTGGATAAATATGTTTTATCAAATTGACTGTTCTATAAGGGCAAGAAATGATGTTTGAGAAAAGAAAGTTAGCTTGCTTTTCAAGAAGAAAGGATTTTGAAACTTGTCTAATTTTGGTGATTTGTTTTGGGATTCAGGACTATGTTCATCAAAATGCAACACAGATAATTACAGAGTTATGTGGTTTTGTAACTATCCTCTGTGGTACTTTTCTTCTTCACAAAACCAAAGACATGGGAAGCAATCCATCCAAACCAATACCTGTCCTCCTCCCAAAAACAGATACGGATTGTAAGCCAACAAGCGAAACAACAAAAATCCCAGCTGAGGTTTGAAGAAAAACGACTAGGAGATTGTTCTTTAATTGGATCATCAAGAGAGCATAGGGGAAAAGGAGAGGTGCATAAACAAGGAAGATAGAAGCATTTGTTATTGGATAAAACATAAGGAGACAAGCTTAGCATTGGAAAGAGGTGATGTTTTTTGACAGGTTGAAGCCAATGTTATACTAGGAAGATATTTCGATATGATTCTTTTTTGTTATTTTGACTTTAGAAAGATTTTACAGTGTGGATACTGATATCGAAATTGACATGCTTCTTCGAATTATATACACAGATAATATGGAAACGAGTTGGACTTTTGTTGCTTCAGGCTAGCATTTCTTTTGTGTATATAGGACATTGCCTGTATTGAGATTCTCTTGTTACTTTGTCTAGTTGGTTTTCAATGTCTTTCACTCTTTTTTTTGGGATTAAATTCTTGTTGTATCTGTAATAGATAGGGAAAGTGATTTTTTATCGGTAATTTACACTGATCCTTTAAATATATTATGGTTGTTACATTATGAAGAATCTTGAGGACAACAAATTGATAATTCAGCAAGAATTGTGGCTGAAAGCATAAGAGAGTAGTATTTCTTGAGTAGGAACTATAGATTGTCACAACTTGAGAATATCAAAGCGATATCCATTGGTAAGTTTTTTATAGTAACCAGAGATAACAGAATAAACTCATAATATGACAACAGACGTCAAGATTAAACTATTCCAGTCTCGATCACCAGTATATCTTGGTCCAAGACCAGACTTTGTTCTCCCACTATGTCAACAAAGGTTTTTTGTACTACTTCATATGGTAATTAAGGGTTATCTCAAAATAGTTGTTAGTGTTTCCAAATGAAAAGATAAAAGAAACAAATGAATGAAAACAGTACTCTGATCAGTCATCAATATTCCCCTTTTTAGATTTCTTGAACATCACAAGAGGTTAGAGGGAAATGACATTTCAATCAAATTGTATGTCGTCTCGAATTTTTCCGTCCGTCATGGTCAAAGTACTCAAAATTGTTTGACCGAATCCGGCACGAATCCCATACCCACACCACCCATACTAGTGTCCTGTCGACACGGGTGCGGCACCTAAACTACTGTGACGGAGCAACTTAGTTGACTAAAGTTTTCATATTTTGACATCATTTTGGCCTAAGGAGCAGTTGATGATAACTAAGGAGTACATTCAGAGATTTCATACAAGATGTGGTAAATAAGGAGTCCTTGTACGAGATGACAAATGTTCCAATGATCAGAACTAGAGGTGGATTGAGGAGTAGAACTTTATGGGTTTGGATTCGATTCGATATTACTACCACATCCTATCAAATTTACTGGGTTCGAAATCTATTATTTGTACTTATTTAGTGGTTTTTTAACACACATTATAGGGTCTAAGCCAAAGTTACTGGATTCAAATGAACCCATATCTTATTCACTAGATCCGCCCCAATCATCAGAAGAAGATAATGCTACCATCTAGATAGCTATGCTTCGCACTTTTGGACCCCAAGGTTAATGCTGGAATGAACAGTAGAATTCTACTAGAGAATTAGTCATAGTCATATTTGGTAAAATGCATAAAGCTGTCTTAGTGGAAATTTCAATTAGCATCGGTATCGGATGTAACCATTTAACCTGAGCTACAGTTCATGATTCCAGAGGGACTGAGGAATTGGATGTCAGATTTTCATGACCATAAAGGGGACAACTTTGCCTCTTCTACTTGAAAAAAGTGGAAAAGAATCAAAGGAGGAACGAAGTATCTTCTACACCAGATATATTGATCTCGACAGCAGAGAAGTATAGTTGCTATATTGTAAGGTCTTGCTACTACGAATTGTTGAAAACTGGTTTAATGGTTCACAACCTTGGAGAATAAGAAATAAAAAAAGGGCAGCCCGGTGCACTAAGCTCGCGCTATGGGCGGGGTCCGAGGAAGGACCGGACCAAGGGTCTACTGTACGCAGCCTTGGAGAATATTGTTAAACAATAAAAGTCTTTGAAAAGTTAAATGCTTTGGATGGACTACTATGCTTGTAGCATGTCTAACTATGGATAATACCATTGAGTTAGAAGAAATGCAAAAGCTGAGGAGACATCTTGGAGACAAAAATCAAAATGTTTTTGGGTAAAACAGAGTGATAAGAACACAAAAATCTTCCATACGATGGCCAAGGTTCATAAGAGACATAACAACATTGACAGGATAGAGATTAAGGCCAAGTTGGTTGAAGATCAAGAAGCTACTTGCAATAACAGCAGTAGTAATATCATATGATACAAAAGTAGACCAACTTGATTGTTGATAGGATATAAGACATCTTTGTTATCCCCAAGTAAACCACATAGCTAAGAAGGTCTAGTCACTAGTGTACATGGAACTGATTGAGAAACATACGATTACTAGTGGTAGAAAAAAGTTATTTTTCTTCGTTAATTAGTGAACTTGACACTAGATTACCAAATGGTGTTTTACGGTAGCTAAATAATTGGGGCAATGGAACACAGTGATACAAAATGGTCAAACTTGTATACGTATAGGAAGAAATAAATGTTTCCTTAAAACAACATTCAAAATAGTAGACATTCAGTTGTCACTCGGAGATGAGTCTTCGTTCTAACAATTTCATAATTCACTTGATAGTACTATGTTCATCTAGTTCTACTAAAATAATGTTCCAATCAAAAAGTAAATCCAGAGATCCAATCGCATAAATTGTAAAGGTGTGCATTTTTACAAAACCTCAGCATTTCTTTTTACAAGGTTTTACAAAACCTAAACATCAAATGACCCCTATGACCAACAGCCCAATATCGACTAATATTCTACGAAGGAAGTTAATGAATTGGAAATCAAAATGTAAGTGGTACTACAACTCAAGGTTTAAAGGTGTGCCTTTAACCAGCAATTTTAGAAAACTTAAATAATTGATGACTGCTAAACTTGACCAATATCTGATTATGGACTTACACTTTTTAATGTATACTTAAAGGAATAAGGTCAAACTGGAAGTAGTATTACGATCTCTACAAGCGCCCTAAACTGTGGCAAAGATAATGATTAATGATAATCAAATGTATCAGGATGGCAATAATAATAATTGAACTGTTAGAACCTTCACTGGACAAGATGTTACAAGTTACAACCATGCTATATTTAGTCATCTGATTTATATGAAGAGAGAATTATGTTATTGTGCCGTCCTGAACCTCAAAAGCATAAATCTTCTAGATTAGCAACATTTGGTACATGGCCGAGTTGTTGAGAAGTACAGATCTCTTTGGAGATTTGAGCTGGCCTTCCTTTGTTGCTCATGTTTAGTTATATTATCATTCATAAAGATTATGAGAACGCTGGATATGAAACAAGAAAGAGCGGATATGGACAGATAAATAAATATATTTTTAGATTTTTTTTTCGGGTGGGGGGTGGGGGGTGGGGGGGGGGGGTAGTTTCTCGCTTGTTTTTGTGTTAGTTAGAAACTTGATGGAAGAATAAAAAGAGGTAAAAAAAATCACTGCAAAAATTATGGTATTATATAAAGATGTTTATTGAACAATGACGACATAAAAACTTAAAAGGCTGAGAACTCTACATTCTATACTGGCTACACTAAAAAGGCGAAACATTATTCAAATACATAGGCTCTGAACAGAAACCAAATATCAATAATACAAACTACAAGTTACTGACCTTTACACTTGTTCATGTCTTGCAAGGCTAAATGAACCTTCCCTCTTCAGGTGGTCGATGTAAATAATAAAAGAGCATCCTTCTATTCATCCATCCACAATAAATTGGTCTTCTTGGGTATCTCCTTCAACTCTTGCATCGCCGTGAACCATACCATTGACATGATGCAAGTTTTGTATCATTTGTGAAAGATAATGGTTAGCTCCTGTGTGATCAGAAAGCCCGGTTGGATGACCAGTCCACTGAGAAAAAATTCCGAGCAGCTGACTAGTAAGATTTTGTTGTTCGTGAAGTATTCGAGTCTGGATCTGGCTCATTTCAGCGCGATGCTGACCTAACGTCTCATCAATCCTCTTCTTCCAGTCTGATCTCCTCTTGTTCATTCTTTCTTCGCGTTCTCTTTCAAATATAAGTTGTTCCTCTCTTCTCCTCCTCTCCCTCTCCTCACATTCCTTCTCCATTATTTCCCATTCTTGAATTCTCTGTCTCTGCAACTTCTCCACCGTTTTCTCCCTTTCTTCCCTTTCTCTTTCTCGTTCCTCCCATTTTCTCTCACGTTCTTGTTCAAATTCCATTCTAAGATGTTCTCTCCTCTGCCTCTCCCGCTCTCTCTCAGCATCCCGTTGCTCGAACCGAGCTTCCATTTCCTTTAGTTGTGCCAACTGCGTTGCAAGAAAACCCCATGTCCTCTTCTCTACCCCTTTGAACATCTTCTTCTTCTTTCTCGTATCGGATCCAGTTGCCTCGATATCTTCGTAAACAAATCCATCGTCCGCATCTTCCTTCATATGACTATTCCTCCTAATATTGCCATTGAAATTCCCCTCTCCTTCTTCCCCATCATAATCAAACTCCATACCAGTAACACCATGATCAACCCCATTAATACCTCCGGCAAAATCACCGTCGCCAGCATTACCTAGATGCCCGAATTGATCAATCCCGATACCATTACCACTCCCATCAAATCCCACACCATTTTCAATCCCATCTCCTACGACCGCCATGGAATCACCACAATTGAAAACAAGCGTATTCACATCCCCAAACACTTCCTTATACCTCAAAAAGTTCGACCAATGAGTTAACCCCTCCATCCAATCAAACTCCTCCGCAGCCGCCGACTCGTCCTCCCCCGAGTTTGACTTCTTAATCTTCTGCTTCACTAATGTATACTGGTGCCTCATATTCTGCACTTTAGTGGACACATCCTTCCAAGTCCATTGCCATGGATACGTAATCGGATCACGAACATGGTGCACAGAATTTACATGTAAAGCAATAGGCCTATACTTCTTTTCCCTAGTTTTCATCTTAGCTAAAGTCCCATCACATAACATCTCACCATACTTATCAATTAAAGTTCTTTCTTCTGCCTCAGTCCACTTTTTTCTTCTTGGTTGTGGCATCATCAAATAAAACTAACTCCACCAATCAATTCAACAAACTTTAAGAAGCTCAAAAATCACATACACAACAACTAAAATACCCCAAAACCCCAAATTTCAGCTCTTTACAACAAATCCATATAAAATTAAATCAAAACTCAAATTTGGCCAAGAATTTGTCCAAGAAAAGCTAAAGGGTACACTCAAAATCACAACTTTTTAGCTAATACCCAAAATTACAACTTTTTAGTAAATACTAAAAGTTACAACTTTTTGAGCAAATACCCAAAATCAAAACTTTTTAGTAAATACCAAATATTACAACTTTTTAGCAAATACCCA